GGGCGGGAGGCGCAGCGCTGTCGGGGGCCGGCGCTCCCGTGAGCAGCTTCGGGCCCGACTTCTCCGGCTCCGCTGCATGGCTGCTGTCGGGGAACGTTGTCCCTTGAAGTCTGGGGAGAGAAGGGAGCTGGGTTTCAAGCCAGTGGCGTCCTGGCGGGTCGCACGCGCCTTGCCCCCCGAAGTAAAGCCCTTGGCCTCCGCCCTGATCGGTCGCTGCCCCCAGGCCCACCCCATGTCCTGCAAACCCCGCTTCAGGACGGGCGGGCGCGGCGGCTCGCGCCTGTGATCCCAGCATTTTGGGAGGTCAGGGCGGGAGGATCGCTTGAGCCCAAGGAGTTGGACCGGCCTGGGGAGACCCTGTTCTCCAGAGTTTTTTTTTTTTAAGCTGGAGTGCAGTCGCTCGATCTCGGCTCGCTGCAACCTCCGCCTTCCGGGTTCCAGCAATTCTCCCGTCTCAGTCTCCCGAGTAGCTGGAACTACAGGCGACTGCCACCATACTTGGCTAATTTTTGTATTTTTAGTAGAGATGGGGTTTCGCCATGTTGGCCAGGCTGGTCTGAAACTCCTGACCTCAGGGGATCCGCCTGCTTCAGCTTCCCAAAGGGCTGGGATTACAAGCGTGAGCCACAGCGCCTGGCCCTCTTGGTTTTGTTTTTAATTCCTGGGGCGTGGTGGCACGCACCTGTGGTCCCAGCACTTTGGGAGGCTGAGGCCACAGAATACCTTGAGCCCGGGAGGCAGGCGGAGGTTACAGAGAGCCGAGATCACACCACTGCACTCCAGCCTAAACGAGAGAGTAAGACTCCATCACACACACAAGGCCGGGCGCGGTGGCTCACACCTGTGATCCCAGCACTTTGGGAGGCTGAGGCACGCAGATCACAAGGTCAGCAGTTTGAGACCAGTCTGGCCAACATAGTGAAACCTTGTGTCTACTAAAAATACAAAAAAAAATTAGGGGTGGTTTTGGGCACCTGTAAACTCAGCTACTTGGGAGGCTGAGGCAGGAGAATTGCTTGAACCCAGGAGGCGGAGGTTGCAGTGAGCCGAGATCGTGCCATTGCACTCCAGCCTGGGTAACAAGAGTGAAACTCCGTCTCAAAAAAAAAAAAAAAATGTAGAGCAGACTTGCTGCCCGCCCTCGCCATTGGACTTTGAGAAGCAGGCCTCCTTCTCCTGCGCTTGTCCCTTGGTATTGCTATCGCCACCGTGCCCGAGTCTTGGTGCCCCGTTGGAGTCTGACCTGTGGCCGCTGTGTCTTGGTCATATGTGAAGCCTGGCGTGTGTGTGCCAGCCTGCCACAGGTGCTCAGTGCAGCTTGCCTGTGAATGAGGAAAGCTGAGTGGGCTGTTAGGGTGAGTGGCTAGCGGCCTGTCCAGACCCTTCCCCAGTGATACAAAGGGCAGGGGCCTCCCACGTGGCCGCCTCTTTCCCAAGCTTCTGTCTGCACACACGGGAGCCATCAGTGTGGGAATATTCTGGAGGTTTTGAGAGTGACTGGAGCTAGGTCCCAGGGAAAGCTTCTGATTGACTTGGAGATGAGACAGGTGGCTGCCTGGAGAAGCAGTCTCCCCCTGACTGAAGGAAGCAGAGGTGAGGAAAGACCCCACAGCAGCAGAGTAGGGCTTGTTCTCACAAGGGGTGAACCAGCTAAGGGCGGGCCCCTGGAGAGCCACCCTGCTGTGGATGGTGCTGGATATGGGGAGCTGTACATCAGCACCTTGGTCTTCTAAGCTCCCCCAAATCACTTGTAGTATTTGTTTTGTTTACATTTCTTACATATGTTATACACACACATGTATAGCCAGAGTAGGTGGGAGAAGAGACTCCTCCCGCACCGCCCAGGCATCCGGGCATTTCCGGGTTGCTCCAGCCAGGACCGTACTGCACAATCTCAGCTTCTGATCCACCCGGATTAGATCTGGTCACCTTGCCAGTAGCAGAGGCTGAGGCCAGCAGGCAGTACCCAGAGGCAGGTTGGACGTGGGCTCCAGGCCTGTGCAGACCATGGAGCTCAGCTGACCTCTCCGCCCCTCCCGTTGACACAGGGATGCCCTGGACGCCCTGGGCCTGAAGCGCTACTGCTGCCGCCGGATGCTGCTGGCCCACGTGGACCTGATCGAGAAGCTGCTCAATTATGCGCCCCTGGAGAAGTGACCATGCCGACCATGGGCTGTGAGCGTCCTGCCCCGTGTTCATGAGACTGAGGCATCTGGGGAGGCCTGGCTGCAGCGTGTGGATCGTGTCCCATCCCCCACTCTGGAAGTAAACATCCAGTAAAGGTCTTTGAGAACCACCACGGTCCCAGACCTTACTAGGATGTCAAGGGCCAGGACTGGGCCCAGCTCGTACATTGCAGCAGCCCAGAGAAGCAGGCAGGACCCTTGCAAGCCGGGTCCTGAACCCTCCTAGCCCTGGGTCAGCCTATTCCACAAGCACTCCTGCAGGAGGCATGGCCAGGAGAGTCTTCCACTTTGGGGCTGTTTGAGGCCCCTGCATTCTGGGAGCTCTTGAGGCCGAGCACAAAGTCCTGTACCCTCTCTCTTGGAATCTGAAGAACGGGATTTAGGCTGGGCAAGGGGGCTCCCCCATAATCCTGTCACTTTGGGAGGTCAAGGCAGGAGGATCACTTGAGTCCAGGAATTGAAGACCAGCCTGGGCATCCTAGTGAGCCCCCGTCTCTGCAAAAAAAATTTAATAAATTTAATAAATTAGCTGGGTACAATGTTCACACCTGTAGTCCCAGCCACTCAGGGGGCTGAGGCGGGAGGATCACTTGAACTGTGATGGAACCACTGCACTCCAGCCTGGGCAACAGCATGAGACTCTCAAAACAGTTATATAAAAGAAAAAACCAGATTTTCTGGGGCCCAAACAGTCTCAGCTGTGGTCATGGCTGCCAGCACCTGCTGACCCGTGTCTGCTGCTACCTGACCCCGAGGGTCTAGCAGGGAGTGTAGGCCAGGTTCCTGTAGAGGGAGAAGGCATCACCAGCCTTAAGACGCCCCTAGCTGTGCCGGGAGGTGGCCCTAAGGAGGCCCTGATGTCCTGGCAGTGCTGCCAGCAAGCACCCCAGGTCAGATGGCCCTGCTGCCCAGATACCTGGCATGGTGTCCTCTGGTGGAGGAGTGGGGTCTGCCTGGGGGTCTACAGTTCTGAGCCTTAGAGATGGGGCGTGGGCAGTGGGGGGTACAATCAGTGACCAGGCCCTGGCACCCCTCCTACCCTCTGGCCCCCAGCAGGGCTTAGAAGCTCCTCCATGTGAGTCCCCTACTGCCCCCACCCCATCGGCCTGGCACCTCTTACCTGGCATGGCCCCCAGGCTGCACCTTCCCACATCAGCTCCCCACTGGCCAGAAGCATCTTTGGAAACCATTTTCCTCTCCCTCAGGGGCTCTGAATATCTCACCATTTAGGAGCGTGCATATTCAGTTCTTCCGCTGTGAGGCCTGTGCTTGCTGTCCCTACCATCAGACCTCCCTGCTCTGGAGCCCCATGAGGGGTTTGCCCTCCTGGCTCTGCTCTTTGTCTTGATGCTGACAGTGTGGGTCTGTCTGTCCTGTGGACGTGAGGGCTCTGAGGACAAACCACCATCTGTCCCAGCATAGCGAGCTCATCCGTCTGTTCCACAAGTGTTTATTGAGCACCTGTATGTGGCAGGGACAGTTGTGGGCATCTGGGATACAGCAGTGAACAAGCCCCGCCCCACAGGCACACCGACAGGCAGTGCAGTGACCACACAGCATCTTGGGTGGGGGTGTCAGTGGTGGGAAAGACCGCAGGGGGTCTGGCTGTCGGGAGGGGCAGAGCTCACTCGGCTTCCCCGGACTGGGAGGGGGCCACGTGGCTGCAAGGCAAAGCCCCAGTACCTGAAGGGCCTCTACCTGCCGGGAACACCCAGCCCTGCCCCACTCAGCAAGTCCCCTTCCAGCCTGCTTCTGACCACCAGGCAGGGAGTGTGTCCAGGGAGCCCCAGGAAACACCCCACCCCCCGTACCATCAGCCAGCGACCCCACCACTGGGCTCAGGCCTCTGGACTTTGGTGTGCAGCAAAAGGCACTTGAAGCTGCCTCTGGGGTTTCGGTCCCCAGAGGCCCTGGCGATGGCACAGGGTGGGAGGCATCGGGAGCCCAGCCCTGGCGCTCAGTAGTCTCAGCTCAGTAGTTGGGTGCGGCAGCAGCAGCAGCAAGGCACCTTGAGCGTGGCTGAGCCAGGGCAGGGTCAGTAGTGCTCCAGCTTGAGGCTCCTGTACAGGCAGCAGGTGAAGACCATCCCGAAGACCTGTGTGCAGAGCCGGGCAGGCGTAAGCAGACGCCACGGGGCCACCGGCCGCCTCCCCGAGTCCCCGACAAGGTCACCATCACCCCCACGGGCCCTCACCTGCACACAGGCAATGCCAACGCCCACAGCCCCAATGACCCTCAGGTGCTCCTGGATGAAGGTCTCCAGCTTGGTGATGCAGCCGCCCTGTGGGATCCCAGTGGGTGCTGAAGGTGGGCCCAGGGGGCACCTCCCACTGGCCCTCTCTGCCTCCAGGGTGTCCCAGGCCCACCCCTAGCACCCAGGCAGTCAGGTCCCTGCCAGTGCAGGCTCTCACTGGGCTGTCCCCCCACCTCCTTGTAGGTATTAGAGGGGTGGTCCCACTGCCCACAGCAGGCCGCTGCATGTCCCCCCACCCCCACCTTGTAGATACTGCAGACGAGGTGCCCTGCCCACAGCGGGTCGCTGGGGGCCCACCCACCTCCACCTTGTAGATGTTGGAGGCGTGGTCCCGCTGCCCACAGCCAGCCACCACCGTCTTGCAGCAGCTGTCAGGGACCACGCGGCCACCGGACTCCCCTGAGTGGATCCACTCGCTGTCCCGCCAGTCCTGTGAGTTGTTGCTGCCACAGCAGTGGAACTGCATCAAGAACAAGGCCGGGGTGAGTCCAGGGAGGCTCTGGACGGACGTGCCCCTCCCAGCACAGCCCACCCACCTCCTGCTGCAGCTGGTCCACAGCGTTGGTCACACCCTCGTGGCCCGGCTGGCGGTAGCGCTTGGTCATGGTGTCCTTCAGGTTCTCCTTGAGCTCTGTGTTCAGCTGGGGTTGGAGTGCAGGAAACTTCAGCCTCAATCTAAGACCCTCCAAGGTGTGGCTGGCAGAGCCCCAGGATGGCAGGGGAGAGGCCCAGGGCCCAGCTCAGACCAAAGGGAACGGCTGGGGCTGGACCTCAGGATGAGGGGAGGTTGGGTGGGGCGGGGTGGCAGTGGAGTGAGTGTGGCAGAGGCAGAGAGGGCTTCCGGATTCCCTGGACACCAGCCCGACCTCATGTTCCCCTGCAGAGACCTAGACTCCACCTCCAGGGCCCAGTGGCACGTGGGTCAGCTCTGGCACCGTGGGGGTGGGGGCTGGTGCTAGTCACGAGTGTGGATCTGCGTGTGTGTGTGCCCCACCTGTGCGTGTCTGTCTGAATGGCCTGCCCAGGCCCCTCACCTGCTGGTAGTAGGCGTAGGCGAGGACACCAGCGATGATCTCCAGCAGAAAGATGATGAGAAGCAGGATGAAGTACTGGGGGGCAAGGACACCCCTGTTCTGAGGCCTAGTGCCTGGGCACCTCGGAGCAGAGCCCCCATCCCGGCTTCCCAGGCTCCAGGTGGGGGCTGAGGGGCTGCCACGCTCCCTGAAACTTGCTTTCGGAGCTGGTGGCTTCCCTCAGCTGGTCCAGCAGGAATGTGGGGACCCACAGGACTGGGCAGGTGGGGAAGGACCGTGCCCCACCCCAACCCGGGCCAGGTGAGCACAGCAAGGCACAGGTTCAAAGCCCCCTTGGGCCCCATCCACACCCCCCGCCCCGTGGCCTCTGCCCTGCTGACCAGGCGCAGCAGGTTCCGCCGCTCCTTGAAGGTGGCGCAGCAGCCCAGGACCCCGGTCACCATGACGACAGCACCCGCCACCACCAGGATGTAGGCTGTGGCCAGGTAGGTGCCCGAGGCCAGCAGGCTGATGTAGTCACTCTTGAGGGCCAGCGTCCAGATTCCCACTGCCATGACAGCCAGGCCGGCCAGCTACAAGCAGTACACGCTGGTCACCGAGCCTGCCTGGGTCTGAGGGTGGCCCAGGAGGGTGGGGGTGGGGACCGGGCAACCCTTCCTCACCCAGAAGCAGCAGTTGTAGGTAAACAGCAGGTACTTGAGGCAAACAGTGCCACATGTTGCCTTCTCGTTGAACTCACCCATCCTGGGGCTGGGGAGGCATAGGAGGGGTCAGCAGGGCCACAACACCAGGCCCGTGACAGGAGGACCGCTAGAAGGAGGGGACACAGATGCCCAAGCCAGCCCAGGAGCTGGGGCGGAGCCAGCCACGGTCCCGGGAGGCCTGCGAAGGAGCCCCCATGGGAACAGGACGTGAGCCACTTAGCGACTCAGGAGCCTGACCCAGTACAGCCAGGATAGACCCCTGGTGCGCCCAGACAGGACAGGGGGCCACGGAGGGCCTCCAGCCATCACTGCTGACTCACCCCTGCTGGCAGCCGGGGGAGGAAGCCCTATCAGGTCCCTCCAGTGAGCTCACGCCGGCCTGCCCGCCCCCCACGGCATTCCCAGGGGCCCACGTCACAGGCTGGTAGGAGTCTACAGGCCTGCAGTGAGGGCGGAGGAGGCCACTCAGAGAAAGCGGAGGGGTGGGGGTTCCAACAGGCCCTAGCTCAGCCCCTTTCTAAGGCTCTCTGGCCCCATTTCCGGTCTGCTAAAGCTCTTCCTTCCTCCCGGCCAGAGAGGAAGAATGGATCTCGGAGGCAGGTGGAGCCTGGCAGACCGGGAGGGTTTTTCCTGGACAGGGGCCACACCAACCCGAGGGGCAGCACAGAAACAGGCTGTGCCCCTCCCCAGAGGCCCCGTGCCCGGCCCAGCCCGAAGCAGTGGGCAAGCTGTGAGCACGGGGAAGGCAGGGAGGGTGTGGGGCGCAGACAGCAGCTGAGCGCCCCGGGCGGCGTTTCCAGACAGCACAGCCAAGCCTGGACTTTGACTGCCCCGCCTGCTCGGCCCCACCCTGCTCAGCACTCACCAGCCAGCTGGGAACGACTCCTCCGTAGGACAGGTGGACAGAAGCTCCCCAGGACTCTAGGCTAGAGGGACAAGGGCATGTCAGGTCACAGGGTGCAGGTCTGGTCCAAGGTCCAGAGTGCGCAGGGTTCATTCTGGAGGCAGAGGAGGACTGGCCAAGCCTGGTATTTTGGTCTGGGCTAGGGTGGGGCAAGGCAGAGGACACTTCTTTGTTTTTCTTTTTTGCTTTTTTTTTTGGTGGGGGGAAGAGGGGAGTGCACCCTCTTCCAAGCTGGAGTGCAATGGCGCGATCTCAGCTCACTGCAACCTCCTCCTGGGTTCAAGCGATTCTCCTGCCTCAGCCTCTCGAGTAGCTGGGATTACAGGCATGCACCAAGCCACGTGGCTAATTTTTGTATTTTTAGTAGAGACAGGGTTTCATCATGTTGGCCAATCTGGTCTTGATCTCCTGACCTTGTGATCCACCCGCGTCAGCCTCCCAAAGTGCTAAGATTACAGGCGTGAACCACCACCTCGCCCAGTGATTTTATTTTTTGGGAGGGAGTTTCGCTCCTGTCACCCAGGCGGGAGTGCAATGGCAGGATCTCAGCTCACTGCAACCTTCACCTCCTTGGTTCAAGCAATTCTCCTGCCTCAGCCTACTGAGTCGCTGGGATTACAGGTGCCTGCCACCACTCCCAGCTACTTCGTATTTTTAGTAGAGACAGGGTTTGGCCACGTTGGCCAGGCTGGTCTCGAACTCCTGACCTCAGGTCACCCACCCGCCTTGGCCTCCCAAGGCAGAGGTCATTTCTGGCCAGTCTGATCCTGGGAGGGAGCTCATGCCTTCCCCAGATGCCCCACCCTGAGCCTTATCTCCAGACCCATCACTAGCCTTTCCCCCACCAAACAGCAGCAGCCACAGCCTGGGAAAGAGGCGCCATGGAGCTGGGGGGACCAGACCTGACCACTGAGCTGAGAGTCACCCTCCGTGACGGAGCTGGGGCCTAATACACGAGGAGTGGCAGGAGCAGACCGTGCCGCCGAGCTGGGGGACCTGCCCCTGGCCTGGCTGTGAGGTCCCAAGCTTTCTGGGGAGCCTGGTTCTGGGCACAGATGCAGCCTCCACCGCCAGGACGCAGCGACCCGCTGAGGAGTGGCCCCTCTTCCCAGGAATGCCTGGTCCCTGCGAACCGCCTGGGAAAAGGCCGGCCAGAAAGAGCTCTCCGGCCCTCCCCCAGCCCCCGGGGACTGCACCAGGCCCCCGGGAGGCCCGCGCCCCATCAGGGAGAGCCCCCACAGGCGGGACCCGGGACTCCGCGCCTGCCAGGCGTCCCCGGGCACTGCAATGAGGTCACCGCCGCCGCCAACCCCGCCCGGCGCGGCCAATGGCGCGCCCACTTGCATGCGGGCGGAGGGAAGGGGGCCGTGTCCAGAGACAATGAGCGGGGTGTCCAGGCTGGGCGTCCCGGGGACGAAGGGGGACGTCAGGCCCGTCCGAGGCCCCGGGAGGCGCCTCTCCCACCCGCCCAGCGCCGCCTCCCGCGGAAGGGCCTGCGAGGAAGCTGGGCCAGGCGGTGGGCGCGGCCTCCCGGGCTCCCCGGGCGCCTGCGGCGGGGCCTCGGGTACTGGGGCGCGCAGGACCTTCGGCCCCCTCGGCCCAGCTCGCCCCGCTCGCCCCGCTCGGCCGGCGCCGCGCACTCACTCACCTACCACGCGTCGGAGTTCGGGCCCGGGCGGCGGCGGCGGCGGCGGCGGAGGGGGCGGCTCCCAGCGCGGAGAATGCGCGGCCCGGGGCCTGCGAGGGAGACGCCCCGCCCCGGCCCCGCCCCGGCCCCGCCCCAGGCCGCAGGCCCCGCCCGCGGCGGCGGAAGCCTGGCAAGTCCGAACCCGCGTGGCGAGCGGGAGCCGGTGGGTGCAGGCGCTGGGGGTCGACCCCGCACTGCGGGGGTCGGGCGAGCTGCAGCCCTGAGGGCGCCAACAGGCCATCAAGGGTCCCCCTATCCAGGGACGGAGGAGCCGAGCGGGAGGCGGGCCCGGAGGTGAGGCGGCGACCCTTGTAGCCAGAGGCCCCGGGCCCTCCTCCATGCCCAACTCCGTCTCTGTCTCCGCACCCTGGAACCGCCCGGAGGCTTCAGGGGTCGGCAGAACGGTTGCGGGCCTGGGGCAGGGGAGGGCCTAGCGCTGTGGGCAGACGCAGGAGAGAGGCTAGGCCGCGGTCAGTGTGGACACCCTGGAGACCAGGGCAGGCCGGAGGTCCCAGCCAGAAATACTGGAAGGAGCCACTGGGAGTGGTGCGAGGAGGTGAGGGAGGAAGGGCAGGACCGGCCTAAGGCGGCACCAGGAAGCCAAGAGTGGGAGTGAGGAAGGAGGGGGCTCCCCACCCCACCCCGAGCTCATTCATCACTGACACAGATAAGACTGGCAAGGGAAGCGGTGGCCGGGCTCCTGGGCAAGACAGCCGGGCGCCCTGACCCACACACTGTGGAGGGCCCTGTGGGCGCCAGCCTTGATGAGTATGAGTTGGGGGGCATGACCAGGGACACAAGAGGACACACAGGACCTCAGCCCCAGTGCCGCAGGCCCACGTGTTCACCCACACGGCACGCGTGCACAGTGGCCACTCATGCAGTGTGCACACACAGGCTGCGGTTCCCAGACGCATGAAGGCCAGGAGTATGCAGGGCAGGCAGTGGGTTTATTTGACCAGGGGGGTTTTCTGCTGAACTGAGATGGGCTTGATTGAATGGGGACAGAATGAAGACTGCCAGAGGGCACACGGGACCCTGACCACTCCAGGCCCCTGACCACCCCCAGGCCCCTGACCACTCCAGGCTAGTTCTTCATGTCTTCGGTCAGGCAGGCCTGGGGCCCCCTGGGGAGGGCCCGCATCCTGAGTAGGCACCCCTCACCCATGACAAGTCTCCTGCCAGAGCAGCTTCCAGCTGACGCTCCGTGAGTCACTCGGGGCCCGTCACCGGGCACTGGGAAGGTGGCCAGAGCCGCGTCTGGGGGGCCGAGACCAGCAGCAGCAACAGCAGCAGGTGGGCCCAGGCAGGCGGGCCGTGGTCAGAGCCTTCCTGCGGCTGCTGCCCACCCGCCTGGCCTCGAAGGCGTCCCTGTCGTCCCGCAGCCGTGTGTTCAGCTCCCTAGGGAAGGAGGAGTCCGACATTGAGCCGGTCTGAGGGAGCGCAAGGTGGGGGAGGTGGGCTCTGAGTCCCCTCGACAGAAGAGAGGTGTCTGGCTGGGACTGCAGCATGAGGGGTGAAAGGCAGACATAAGGAAGGACTTCCAGCAGAGCAGAGCGGTAGCCAAGAATGTTGGGGAGCTTGGAGCCCCCGGACTCCGCTGAGCCCCTTCCCTCGCCGGCCTGAGCCTGGCCGCACCTGAGCAGCTCCAGTTGCCGTAGCAGGCTGACTTTCTCTTTCTGCATGTTCCTGGAGACGGCGACCACGTTTCTGTGGGTGGGAGGTGGTGACCCGGCTGCAGGAAGGCTACTAGGGAGCCCCAGGACCCCCAAGAAGACCCTCCCACAGAGTAGGGCTGGGACTTTGAGGTGGGGATGAAAGTGGCGCAGACCTGAGCGCCCGTCGGCCCCTCCCCCGGGACACGCCCCAGGGCCCGCCCCAGCCCGGTTCCCCGGCACCGTTGGGTTTGCTCCTGACGGCCTCGCGCTTCGCCCTCCAGCCTGCGGATCTGTTCCTGCGCTCCTTCCAGCTGCGCTCGCAGCGCCTCGTGCGCCCGCCACAGCTGGGAGTTCTGGGCCTGCGCCTCCAGGTGCTCCGCAGCCCGGGCCCGCAGCTGCTGCTCTAACTGGAGGCATGGAGACCGGCGAGGAACGCTCCCTCTTCCCCGGGGTGCTGCGCGTGCCCAGGCTCCCGGCAACCCGCGGGCCGGGGGCGCTGAGGCTCAGGGGAGCGCGCACGGCTGGCTGTGGGGACGGGGCTCACCTCCCGCTGCCGCAGGTCCGCGCGTTCGAGGTCCTGCTCGCGACCCTGCAGCTCCAGCTCCAGGCGGCTTCTCCGCTCCCCGCGGGCGGAGTTCTGGGACGCACGGAGGACCACTGAGCCTTCGCCGGCCGCCCGGGCGTGCAGAGGAGGCACACGGAGGGCCGGGGACTGGGAGTGGGCCAGGACGGAGCGGGGTCGGGTGGAGAAGACGGGACGGGCGCGAGGGGTGAGGGCCTGCGGGGTCTCCCTGGACTGGGGGCAGCGGGGCCCCGCAGAGGTGGAGCCGTCAGGGTGGGGTTAATTCGGGGAAGGCGGATTAACCGCGAGGCAAGCGCGGCGGGACTGGCGGGAGGGCGGGGCCCGAGGCCCACCTGACTTGGCGGGCGCCGGCTTTGCTCGCGAAGCTGCTCCATCTCCTCGTACAGAGCGCGCACCTCCCGCTCGTGCTCGCTCTCGCGCCTTCGGGGGACGGGGAGACCTGGATGAGAACTTGCGGGCGCTGCAGCCCCCCAGCACCCCCTCTGCTGCTGCCTGAGGCCTTCCGCGGGCCCCCAGACCCCACCTGGCGCTCACCTCCGCAGCGCCTGCTCCAAGCCGTCGCGCTCCCGGGCCGCCTCCTCCAGGCAGGCCGACGCGCGTATCAGAACGTCCTCGAAAGAGCTCAGCAGCTCGGGGCGCTCGCGCTGCAGCCGGGCCCAGAGCGTCCTCACAGCCCGCTGCCTGGAGGGCGGGCGGGAACTGAGGCTGCAGCTGGCAGAGGCGGGGAGCAGGCTCCCCTCCGCCCGCGGCAAACCCGTGGGAGACTCCTTGGTCCTGGATCGGACAGGAGCGCTTGCCGCGGGCAGGGCATCCCTCCCTGGAGCGCCTTCCCGCTGCCCAGCGTGGGTGGCGTGTGTGTACCCGGGCAGTGTGTACCCAGCGTGGGTGAGGTGTGTGTACCGGGCAATGCCGGTTTGTGGCCCCGCTCCCGGCGCCGCCCCTCCTCCCTGCAGCCCTGGCTGCTGCCTCCTGAAATGCAAATTCTGCGGGAAATCACGACGGGTCCCTCCCAGGGAGTCGCAGCTGACGCTGGGCCGGCCCTGAGCCTGTGCGGGACCCGCACTCGGGTGACAGGAGCAGACAGCATGCAGGCAGAGAAACAGCAGGAGGGGCGGGTGGCAGGGCCAGCGCCGACTCACTCGCCCAGGACTGGGGCCACCCCCAGCTGCTCCAGCGCAGTGTGGAATCGCTCCTCCTCTTCCTCCTCCTCCTCGTCCAGAGAGCCCCCCGTGCCCTGCACGTCCAACCAGCCCGACTCAAAGATCTCTTCCGGAGCCCTGCCGGGGGTTTCTCCCTGGGCCGACTGCACCCCCACAAACATCCCTGCAGGCATGGAGCGAGCATTAACGGGGCTGTGGGTCACCGCCCGGGCTCCGTCCCGTTCACCCTCCCAGCAAGTATCCTGGCCTCTCTCAGGGTCCAGTTTCCTGTTTTTCTTCCTTGTTCTGGTCCTATTGGCCTGGGAACAAGAGGTGACAGGCCGGCTCCCAGTCCCAGGGGGCATAGCTCAGGAGAGGAGTGGGGGCAGGAAGATCAGCTTCCACACACTCCACAGAGCTGGGGACCCCAGGGGCGAGTGCGTGCAGACACCAGCACTGGCCCTGGAGGGAGGAGGAGCACAGGCAGCCCTCAGGGGCCACAGGTGCCCAGCCTCCCGATGGGCGCTCCAGCCTCTGGGCAGTGGGGGATGGGCGGGCATCAGGCTCACCCAGGCCCAGGCAGAACTCCCGGGGGGTGAGGAAGCCAGTGTGAGCCTGGTCCAGACTTTCAAACACAGCCTCCAGCTGCTCAGGCGTGAGGGGGAGGTCGCTCTGGAGACCCTGGTCAGGGAAGGACAGCAGGGATGAGCCGCTGAGGTCCGCCCCGGGGCCAAGGTAGTCTGTTGGGGCTGGGGACTCACCTGCAAGTCGTGCCTGGTGATGAAGCCCTTGGCCTCCTTGTCACATAGCAGAAACAGCTCCCGGGCCTGCTCCAGCATGGCAGCCCGGGGCTCTGCAGGGCCTCCCTCCAGTTCCGCCTCCTCCTCCTGGGCCTCATCAGCCCCAGGCTTTCCCAGGCTGGCCATGGGAACAGAGGGCCTCAGCCTGGCCTTCAGGTGCTGTGAAGCCAAGGGAGGGTCAGAAGAAATTCAGGAGGGGAGCTGCTGGAGTCAACTGCAGGCCCTCCCTGCAGCAGGTGGGAAGGTGGGCAGAAGGCAGGGTGGGGCCGGGGGGCTGGGGCTGTCACTGGGGTGGGTGAGAGGCTCAGGGCCTGTGGGTGCTGTCCCGTGGGTCTGGCATCTCAGGAAGCTGGAACCCAGGGAGAGGTGAGAGCCCCAGGAGGAGCTGCCCAGTTCAGGATGGGAAGCTGGAGGTGGGGGCAGTCTCGGGCCGGTGGAGAAGACCTGGTGATGAGGAAGGTGGCTCCTGAAAGCTGAGAGGGGCGGGCTTGGGGTCAGTGAGGGAGGAGCCCGCCACCTTCTGCAGGTGCAGATCTGACCCCGAGTGAGGGCTCAGCTGGCCCCGACCAAGTCCTCAGCCCCTAGCCTGGGCCTGGGTGGCCCAGCCTCATGACAGCTGGCAGCCGGGCCAAACTCCTCCCTCCTGCCCACCAGCCCCTCCCTCCCCACAACTAAGCCTGCAGGGTGCAGGGGCCAGGTCCCAACCGGCAGAGCCCCTCGCCTCTGACGCTCTGCTCAGGAATAATTTCAGATTCGAAACCTAACACCGCTGCCTCCCAATCACTAAGGCCCTTCCCTGTCCCAGAACTCCTTGGGACGCCCCGCCCCCTAACCAGAGCCACCTGTCCTTCCCACAGCGTCCTCATCCTGGATTCCCAAAGCTGC